GGTTAAGTGAAATACATTATTTATGGTTTTAATACATTTTATACACAATTTGATAAACGATTGTATGGGAATCGAAAGGAATTGTGTATATTCATATGATACATTAAATAAATTTCCTTTTAAAATATGTTATTCACAAGTAATGTATAAATTATTTTGGAAAATTTAGTACAATAAAGATTTGCGTTAAACTCTTTCAGCTAAATCAATTATTTAACATCTAATTTCTAATGGCGCATTAAATATGTGCTTTTGTTTTTATAAATCTGAACGTATTACATCAAATTTGTTATATTCCTTTATCGGAAAAAAGTTACTTTATTTTAATAATTACCACAGTGAACTACAATAGTAATTATATAAGTTTTTTTTTAATTAGAAACATTTTAAATAAGGAATAGCCTACCTAGGTGTTCAATGGTTTTGAGTCACGGCAACTACATACAATACAACAAAAATAAGGTATGCAACACACAGCATCTTCGCCTTTATTTGCACACTTCTTTAAACATTTCGCACATATTTGGCCCATCTTTTTTGCTTTTTCTTCTACACTTCTGTCTTCTACAAACATTCAGAGTTATCAGAACACTAGGTTATTTTAAAGTAGATACTTTTAAAATTGCACACAATTTACTAGCCATTAAGACATTCTAGAAATAAAATATCAAGCTCGTGTCCAACAACAATATTAAGAAGAAGAAAAATTACACTTAACAGGTATAAAATTGTTTAGTATATATATTCAAAACATATATACTGACCGTTTGACTCCTTATGAAGCATATCCGCTAAATCCAAAAATGTTTATAAATCAAATTAAATGTTTGCTAACGATAAATTGACCATTATGGTATGTAGAAAAAATAATAATAAAATGTGTGTTATTTTCAAAAATAACTTGAATGCAGTTTTAAATTAATTCCAAAAAAAATCGTTTACAATAATGTAACAACATAATGATGAAAAACGTGCATTGATTGGGGTGAAAAGTATAAGATTTATATTTACACTTAAAAATATTAACGTTAAGTATCCATTGAGGAATTTAAAAATTCAATGAATAATGTACACTGAAGCTGAGATTAAAGACACTAAAGAAAAAAATGTTTTTTTCTAATTCAGAAATAACACCAGACATTTACTTCATTATTGTTATTATTGTTTAAACTATTTTATACAAAAAATTACATATTGTACTGACGTGTAATACTCTTATAATTTTTTTCCTCCGACTTTTGTTTACCTAATGCAAAAAAAAAATAGATACAAAGCAAATTACTGTTTGCAATTTTAAGGTGCCATTATGTGGTCTTTATAAAATAAATCATTTTGTAGGTATCAATTTTTAAAAGATTTTTTTTTTTAGTTTTTAATTTTTTTAAGGTATAAATATCAGTTTTAAACAAAATGTTGCTTGTATACAAAATCATCATTAGAAAAAGAGGAATAAACCGGTATTTATTTTTTTTTTTTACAAAATAACTACTATCCAACTAATTTAAGCCTTAGAATGTAAAAATTGTGAAAACATTGATATATATACACCCTTAATACTACTTAATAGTACTCTAAAATATTTTTTTTAGGAGTATAAAATATTTTTAATTTATTCCTCATTTAGTTGCGAACAATTTCGATATACTTACATAACACATTATTCTAACAATAGATTAGAAAAAAAAAACAAGTTTTGAATACAAATATATTTTTTTTTATTATTATTACCCTCGGCAGCAAAGGCCATTATATAATTAATATAATAATATTGATATAATAAATATATAATATATAATAGCTGACCAAAGCAATCATAATACCTAAAGAGTGTATTATGAAATCTTGATTTTTTTTTTTTTTAAATCATTTTTTTTCTGATCTGTTGTTAGAATAATGTGTTATGTTCTATATAAAGTTTTTTTTTAATTTTATAAAATAATATTATTTTTTGTTAATTACTTGTAAAAACTATGAACTAAAAAAATATATATTTGTTAAGTAACAGTATTCGAATCTTGTTTTTTTTTTATTTAATTTTTTTTCTGATCTTATGTTAGAATAATGTGTGATGTATTTTGGAATCCTTTGCAACTAAATGAGGAATAAATTAAAAATATTTTAGGGTATGTACCCTTAATAGTTTAAGGGTACATATATCAATGTTTTCGCAAATTTTACATTCTAAGGCCTAAATTAGTTGCATAGTAGTTTTTTTTGTAAAAAATAAAAAAATACTGGTTTATTCCTCTTTTTTTAATGATGAATTGATATTTATACTTTAAAAAAATTAAAAACTAAAAAATTTTGGAAAACTGATGCTCGCAATCTCTAAAAATAATTTTAAAAATCTCAAAAAAATTGGGAAATATTATTTTACCCCATGGAACATAATGTCAAGAGAAGAACAAAAAAAACAATTTTTTTTTGGTACACCCTAATATATACAGGGTGATCCAGCTAACGTAAGACACTCATTTTCTCGGAAAATATGAATATTTTGAAAAAACATTTTTTCCTATTCTTTTAGGTATAAGTTTTACTACATTTTTCAATGCTTCGAAAATTTTTATTTTCATCCCTTATACGATAAAAAGGGTCTAAGTTCACGTTATCAAATGGCAACATATGTTTTTAATTCCATAAATTTGTAGGCAAAAAATTTAAAAATATGTTATCGTTTGAATTATTAATTTTTATCCATCTAGTCGTTAGCTATGACTTTGTAAAGATATTACATTTTCTCTTAAATATTGTTATATTTCTTTGGTTTTCCAAAGACCGGGAGCCAATAAAATACTTATTTATGATCGCATTGTCCGATAGATGAGTACACAGATAACCAAACACAATAAAATGTTTTGTGATATTTTGTTTGACCAGCGTTTCATATTTATAGATTACCGACTTTTCTAACACACCGTCATGACAGGTAGGTTGACAGACCTATATTGACAGCAGCTAACGAATGGCTATTTAACCACAACAATCAAAAACCGTGGTACAAGTAGGTTGATAACTGCTGCTATGATGATAATACAAAATATTATTATCATTAGTTATCATATTTTTCTACTATCTATGTTCTACATTCAGCAAGTAACAGCACAGTACAACAGATCATTATTATGCTATTTGAAAATTATAATTTTTAGTTTTTATAGGTAGTAAACAATAGCTTTAAAATTTGGCTTACAATCTCATAAGTGCATACATTGAATGGACACGCGTCGCGAAGCGTTACTATTATTTGTTTAGTTATGTTCAATTTATTCAAAATATGTTCTGTGCTCAAATAATTGTTTTAAACAATTTACACTAAATAAGGAATTTTGGATTTAATTTGCTTACTATTTTAATTCTACAGTAAATATTTAAAATGTTGCTTATTTTACATTTATAACTAACTTTTTTTTATTATATAAACAACTTTATTAATAAAAAATAATGCAATAAAGTGGACTGTGTTTAAATGATTAAGTTGTCTAAAGACTAGATGTTTTTGTAAACAGTGTATTAGGAACCTACAACAAAATCACAGTTAAGTTTGAAATTGTATTAATTATCAACTTAATTTAAGCCGGTAGTTCCAAACTGTGATTCAAAGTACTTTTACTTTTTTTCTGTTTTCCTCATCCTGTTGGTAAAAAAGATTTGATTTTTCTGTAACGGTAAATTTTTCAACATCATTGATATTTCATTTTTTTTTAAGTCAAGTTATTTCTTATTAAGATCCCGTTAATAAAAATATGGATCAATAGTTTGTGACTCAATTACACAAAATCACACAGTGATACTCAAACTTCAGAAATAAAGTTAGGGTTTGTGTCACGCAAACATTAAATTATCAGAACTTGTCTTTTTTATTTTATTAATAACTATTAAATTAAATAGTTTATATGTTCTTATCTTTTTATTAGTACTTACTAATTATTATTATAACTTATAAGGTGTATAATGTTATAATAATAGTGATTCTAAAGCCTTTATAATAAAATATGTCTGTTTCAAAAATTTCAAATTGAAAAGTTAATTCTTTTACAGTTGAATCTGCTAATTTTGATTTTATGTATAATCAGTATTTTCTTATTTTTATTATTTTCTTCACTATTTAATATCTAGAAAATTAAAAGCTTAATAGATTTTAGTTGTTTAAAAAGAAAACCATTATTTGATATTTCCTTGTTTACTATACAAATTAAAGTATTGACATTATTAAACTATTATAACGGGTACGTTTTACTAAGATTATGTAAAAGTGGCAATATTAAATCAAAAATAGCCTTAGCTAAATTGTAGTATCTAAATTTAACAATTATTCTGTAATAAAACACATTTTTAAGGATTTAAATTTTATGGAATTTGTACGTGACAAGTTTGTCTGATTTTATACACATACATACATGTATACTATATTTATGTATGAATACAAATAATTATAAAATCAATTTTTTTTTTTTTTTTGTCAAGCTTAACGGGCCTTTAAGGCCCAACGCTGCCATCATGAGATGGTTTCTTGACGAATTTGCTTCCGGGACGGGTCGTCAATCCGTCGCCGGATTGATAAAATCAATTATACTAACTTATAATGCATAGTTGTTAAAAATAAAATTTGTTTACCTTTAATGATGCAAATAATGGTTAAAAGAATATTTGCTGTAATGCGTATGCGACAATTTTCCTACTTTAAAGAGTTAAAAACAATTTTTATTAATTTTTACTGTGTAGTTTACAAAATTTGAACATTGATAACACATAGTCAAACAATTGTGTTGATAAATTTCAACGACAAATATATAGTATAGTATAACATTTAAAGAACAATAATAATCTTTTGTCTGATAATATAAGTATTTAACTAATAAAATATTCATAAACTAATTATTAATACAACAATAAATTTAAAAATTACAAATGTTACTATTTTGGAAATATTCAATCAAAAATATTAAACAAAAACAATATCTATACATTTGAAATTGTTCAACTTCTATAATACTGATTTAAATTTTTTTCTTTTAACAATCGTTGGTAATTAAACAAATCTAACAAAATCAAAATTCAATAAATAAAATTAACTATAAGAATTATCTTAGGCAAGTTCAAAAAAATAATTTACTTGATTTACTGAATTCATTAAATACAAATTAATAGAATTACTACTTTTTTAAAGAGAGAATTATTGTATATTAATAAATTTGATATAAAATTTAACTGTGATAGCCAAATACCTGTGTCAGTTATAGCTAAAACTTTATGATAAAATATCCGTAATGTATGTCAGACACACAATATATGGGTTATATCATTGTAAGAAATAACTAAACTGAAAGCAGACATTTGAACTACCTTAGATAAGTTTAATCAAATAAAAATAATATACTTACATATTATTATAAATATTGGTATAATCAAGAAGCGATTCCTTGTATGTAGTAGTATGAAATTCATACATTAATTACTGATATTTTTAAAAATAAATGAAACGGGTATATGAGTATTATCAACCCACATACACAAATACATGCATTAATAATTATTTTAAGTTAACACAACACACTTTTCATTCAAATTGCTTAGTGTTGATATTATACATTCACATGAAAAAATGTCACATTAGAAATAAATGTTTTATACTTATAATTTACACCTTGATATATAATTGTAAGGTCTTGGGTCCGATTGGAAAGACATTTCCATAGCAATTGATATGTCATACTCAAAACCAATTTTACATGATAACATTGGTTTTTAAAAGATGAAATATTTTCAGTAAAAAAGCATTCAACCTAAATTAAAAAAGCTAATTGAAATCGTATTGAATTAAATTACCCATTAAACTCTAATAAACTTACCTATTAAATTAATGCTTTATATGTATAATTTACACCTTGATTTAAAATTGTAAGGTCTTCAGTCTTGGGTCCAATTGAAAAGACATTTCCATAGTAATTGGTATAGCCTATTCTCAACGCCATAGATATTTCTGACATGATAACATTGATTTTTAAATGATAAAAGATTTTCGGAAAAAAGCATTCAACCTAAAATAAAAAAGCTAATTGAATTCGTATTGTATTAAATTATCTATTAAACTTTAATACACTTACCTATTAAATTAATGGTTTGTCCAAGAATGTAACGTCAAAATAAAGTCGAGAGCAAATATTATCAATTGATATATTTATGCAAATATTTCAAAAACTATAAAATAACGAGTTATGACTTAACTACAATGAGCATGCTATCGTATTTACTATAAAGTAAAATGTAAATTTACTAACATTTTTTAATTAAGTTTGTAATTTCTCATTTCACTAATGGAAAATGTGTGAACTGTGAAGTTAAAATTTGTTAGCGACAGAGGTTATGTACAAATAATAAAATATATTATGGGTACTGGTCACTCGATTATTCCGTGGTAACTGATGCATAGTTTAGATACTAGATTGTTATCCGAGATAACCAGCTAATGACTAGTATTGTCATATATATATATATATATATATATATATATATATATATATATATATATATATATATATATATAATATTTATAGATTAATTATAGCCTAATATGTAATTTTTTTTAATTTCAGTAATTCAAAATTTGGGTCTTCACTTAAACCAAATATTGGTTATCTGTCTTGATATCTACGTACCCACCATGCTTTGATCCATTACGCATTGACCCCACTGTACTGACCTACTTGGTGTACTTTGCACACCTTTATAGCTTTAAGTCCCTAAAAGAGGATTTCATTTCCTAACTAAGTCTATTTAAAATGATTATAACATATTCAACATTGCTGATAACCCATTTTATATATTTAATCTTTAAGTTTAACACCTTATTTATAATGTACGAAATTAATACATTTGAAATTCAAGTAGTATATTATATGATAGGATTATTAAAGTTTTTATTTTACTAATAACCATCGATAATGACAATAACATTTTTAATTTTCGTAATAACACCTTAGATTTGAACACAAAGTTGTAGTAGGTACAATTATTTATCTACACCAGACGGTGTAAAAAAGGTCATATAATGACGTGTACACTATGACTCATTTTTTCATGTTTCAAATAGACATTTGGTTCCTTGGCTATTTCTGAGAACATTCATTTAATTAATAATTATTCAAATTAAGTAACAGTAAGTAAATTGCCATTAAATGTACAAGTATTAAGAACTTGTTTTTTTAATACACGAATTGTAAAATTAACAGTTAGTGCTACAAGTTGTAAGTGAGTACAGTAGAAAACAATTTCCAGACTGTAAAAAAGAAACTTTATTAAAATAATAGTTATAATGTATTTGGAGACTTTAACAATATTTTTCACTTATAAACAGACAGTTCGTAGTCATTAATATACGTAATTGACAAAATAAGGACATTTTTGAAATGCTTACAATATTTCTTAAGTGCAATGTGAAGTCCCAAAAATTTTAATTCTATGGCTAAAAACTAATATCTTTTGAAAAAACAGTTTCACCCGATTTCAGACAATTATGCATGAATTATTATTTTTAGTTATTGGAAAAAAATGAGGGAGGGGGTCGCGCAAAAAAAATTGCATTATCGCATATAAGCATTTTATGAAATTACACTTGTGCATATAAGTATCAAGTATATTCATCATAAAATATATATTTATAATTTTATAGAATAAATCAGTAAAGCTAAATCAGATCTTTTGGTATCGCTTTTATAAAATGTGTACTAGAAGCATGATATTTTTTTTTAAATTGATAGAATCTTTTTTAGAGAAGCTTCTCATTTTTTTTTAGTTTCATATGAAAACATGTTATTATTTGAACAATACACGTGTAAAAAAACTGAAAAATTACAATTATTTTGAAAGTGAATTAATGCAGGGCTCAACCGATAAAATAATAAATACATTTTCCTACAATATACCTATAGTTATAAGGAATTGGTGTAAAATAATATTTTATAAAATAAAACACAATTTATGGGTTGGAAATTAATCTTAGAAGATAAGTCTAACATATACGATTACGGCACTCAAAAAAGAAAAAGTAACACATATGTTATTTAAAAACATATTATATACTTATTTATATGCTGGCAAATACTCTAAATATAGGTACATATGTATTAAAAACGGCTTGTTTATATCGTAACTGTTATTATTGATGTTAATATTACATTTGTATCTCCGCACCATTTCAGTGTAAAACAACATATTTCTCCGAACCGTTTTTTCTAATTTTTCCTGTTTCGAAGGATTTCTAACAACTAATACAATATGTATAAATTGTATTATACGGTTTTTGTGTTGATGATCGTTGTGTTGATTGGAACAATGAGCCAATCAGGACTACATCAAGTCATTTGGAATTTGACGATGGACAGCCGCCATTTGCACTGCAGTATAGATATAATTTCCTACCCGGGTATTGACATGGTGTTGCCTGAAGTCGAAAACCTTGACGGAACTTCACTTATTGAATTTGGAAATCCAAATTTGTCGATCCTGCAGGTCGACACACAGGTAATAAACTTCTCATAGAAATTTAAATATTTTGCGCTTAAAAGTTTTTCCGAAATCTATTAAAATATAAAATACCTCTCTCAAAAAGTTATATAAGGAAGAACAAGTCAATTGGAATTTGACGATGGACAGCCGCCATTTGCACTGCAGTGTAGATATGATTTCCTACCCGGGTTTTGGCATGGTGTTGCCCGAAGTCAAAAACCTTGACAGAACTTCACTTATTGAATTTGGAAAACCAAATTTGCCGATCCTGCAGGTCGACACACAGGTAATAAACTTCTCATAGAAATTTACATATTATTTTGTTTTTAACAGTTATATACCTACCCCACCGACCAGAACTTGTAAGTTTAAAATTAATTGTTGAATTTACCTCTATCGCTGTATTCTTCAAATGTATTTAACAGGTTGTTGGAACGACCTTTCTGACTGGCATCCGAGAAATGGGCATAGGCCTATTCGCAAAGGTGTGTTACGGAGTTGTGGTCAGTGCAGTAGCTATTGTGCTGATTTTTGCTAGTATTGTCATACTGGTACTCTTACTTACGGCTATTGCACCGTGGCTACTTGTATTGACTTCTTATGCACTGTTGCTGAAACTTCTGACTATCATGGTATTTCTGCCGATGTTTCTAGTATGGATAATCGTCAGTGTCATTGTAATTTATATTGTTATTCATTTGAAACGTTCACATATCATATAATGTTATCATACATTAACAATTTTCACATAACTTATATTATTATTGTATAAACTAATTGTATATACTCCAAGCAGCTGTACGCCACAGCCATGGTGCGTAACCCGTCTTATACCAACTTGGAACACAAACTACATAATATTGTAAAATAATATGATTTTGTATTTCACAAGTTTACTGGTTCATTTTTTTATGCAAATATATTTTGTAGAAATATCGCATGTTATCGGATCGTTTTTATTAATACCGTCATACAACAGAACATATGTAGTGAAGCTATTTTTAGATACCGTCGACAATTACTTTTAGCTTTAACTCAATACTTTTACTGACATTTGAAAAATACAACGCTTTTACATTCGTCCCGCTTAACCCTACCTGTACCACGTGGTGGCGGTTAGGTTAGTATTAATACCGTACATTAAAAAACATCTTGCCCTGTTTATATTAAAGATTTGAGTAGAAAACAACTCTATGCAAACGAAACTCGATTTGTAACAACAACTTTTTAAATCGTTGTTTACCCAAAGTAATTGCTTTTGCAGTGTGGGTCACAATATTCTTTCAGCTGTGCGGTAGTACGCGACGACCCATGATCTTAAGATTGTCTTAAGATACGTCATAGTAATATTATTATAAGGAAATATTGTTTAGAGGATTTTATGCTACCATCGCCGACACGACGACGACATGGTGTTTTTTTTATGTCCTGATCGATTTTTTAAAAACAAATCGTTGTATACGTTAACTCGTCACCGGTCTTGTGCAAGTACTTTTGGAAATATATACACACAAGGTTAGGTTAAGTAGGTTAGGTTAGGTTAGGTTTACATACAAGTCTGCGCGGGGAGGCCGTAAAGTCACGGAAAATATTGTCACGGGCCGTACGAATTCGGAATCTAAAAAATAAAATATTATCATTTTTATTGAAACTAATTTTTCATTTAATAAATGATTAATATTATAATATCTGAAGCACTGAATAAAAATAGCAAAAATAAGAACAATACATTTTTTAATTTATATTGAAATTCAACATCAACATTTAATTTATTATTTTATAATTTATAGAAGTATAATATAAGTATTCGCTCCACTCTAAAAAAGTTAAAACTATAGATTTTGCTATATTTTTTAAAATTAATACTACATAATGAATAATAAAATTATTTTAAAATTTTTAATTATGATCATTTAGTAGGATGAACTGTTGGTTAGCCATCTAAAAAAAAATCAATTTATGGATTTAAATATATGGATCAAAAAAATATGAATGTATTATTAACTTATCTATTAAATATGTCACGACACCATGGCCGGCGTAGCCGGGCACCCCCCTCAGAACCGCTGTGTACTGACATATAACATACTACGTTTGAACAAATTTTGTTTCACAAAGGTAAACCATAACAGACATTTAGCCGACTAACCTCTAGACATCTTTATCTGTATCTCTAGTTTTAAAAATAATAGTTGTCTCAAAAGTCCGGGGGAATGTAAATATACTCTGTACTTATATGTACAATTAGTCCCATGAAATAGTACAAACAAGTCGTAGTTTGTACATTTATGTTGTCACAACTTTTGTGTAAAGTGTATACCATAGGTTATATATAAGTCTATAAGTTAAGTTTATATATGTTAAAATAGAAAGTATTCCAAAAAATAAAAAGCGATTAGCCAAAATGAAAAAAAAATAAAGGATATATTAAATCACTCCTCAAATGGAAAAATTGTTCAAACTCGGTAATTTTAAACAAATATCAATTACTATTATTTTTAACTATAACTTGACTTCTATTATAGGTACATTCACCTTTAAGAAATTAATAGTTTTTTGCATTTCACTGTTTTGGGTGTAATTTTTGGGCTTTAAACCTGACAATTAACCGAGGCGATTTTGAATTTAGATTCTATTATTTTAATGTTATAGGCCCTATAATATAGAGTAATGATACTGCCGAATTATTTACGGCGATAATAAGTCCGAAAATAATGTCACTGAACGTGTTTTAGCTGACACTTCTGTGCCGGATGCACTGTATCGGAAACACGACAAAAGGTCGCCCGACAAAACGCCGCCGGACAAATCGCCGCCCCTAAAAAAACCGCCTCTCAGTAATGCCAACACTAACAA